AAACTTTTACTTTAATCCCTAAGTTTATTAAATTACAAGTTGACCCTATTTTTAACTATAAATACCCCCATTTTTCTTCATATTTTTTTCACAAAAATCAATCATTCTCTCTCAAATAACTTACATTTTTTCTACATTATTCTCTTAATTTTCTCACAATTAACTACGTTTCAAGTATTTGGGAAATTTTTTGGAGCAACTTTCAAGCTTCAAATTAATTCGTCAAGTATTTAGAGCAATTTTTGGGAAATTTCTTTAAATTTCAATATTTAATCACGGTGCATTCGTTCCATCTCCTAATTTTAATATTTAATTTTTGCGTATCATTTCAGTGCTTAATTTTTGTGTTTACTTTGTGTGTTCTATTTTTGTATTTCATTTGTGTGTTTAATTTTCTAATTTTTTTCATATTTAAATTATGGATCCTAAAAGTGTATTTGGAATATTTAAAAAAGTAGTTAAAAAATAGTAAAGGTGCTAGTTGTAGTAATCCTAATCCTAATCCTAATCCTTCTCCTAGAATTAGAAAACATATATATGAAATGACTCATGTTGATGAAACTTCATTTTTCAAACACCCTGCATTTTATAATATTAATTTGAGAGAACAACTAGATTATGAAACTTTACAAAGACAATTTGGCAATGATATTTTTATTGAGGAAGAAAAAAATGACGAAGAAGAACTAGATGAAACACCCACTAGTCTAGCAACACAAGCTCCAACTCAGAGTCAATATTGGTCGAGAGCTTTACTCTCTGTACCTCGTGTGAGGGGTAAGGCTAAAGCTGAACATTTAAAAACATCACTTGTATGGAATTTTTTTAAACATGATAAAGTCAATGAACTTTCTACATGCGAAAAATATAAGACATGATTTGCACATGAAAAATCAGGTGGGACGGAGGGTTTAACCAGGCATTTAGTTAAGGAACATAAATCTTTATGGATACAAGCTCAAATAGATGCTAGAAAAACTTCAGATCCTAGCAGTGGTACTAGCGCTCCTACTGGATCTGGCGGGGTTCTAACTTTTTACAACAACAACTTCATCCTGCTTCTGGTAGTATACTACATCCCTATAACAAAGATAGAGATCGTGAAAATTTAGCAAAAATGATCGCTATCTATGGCTTACCTTTTACTCTTCCTCTCACCCTGCTTTTGTGAATTATATACAAGAAACTTGTAATCCTTCTTTTCAAGGTTTTCCTAAGACCACAGTTAGAAATGATGTCTTTAAATTTCAAACACATTGGGGCATATATTGCAACTACTGCTCTACAAATAGTTGATTTTTATGGGCTCATTGATAAAATTTTAACTATCACATTAGATAATGCTTCTGCTAACACAACTGCAAAAAATATTTTAAGAGCTAGGCTTTGTCCAATTAATCCAGCAATTTTTCATGTTAGACGTGCATGCCATATTTTTAACTTGGTTGTAAAAGATGCTATTACTTTATTTTCTGAGGCTTGTAGTAAAGTACAACATGCTTGGGGCTATATTTTTCATGCTAATAAAACGAGTGGAATTCGTGAGTTTAAACAACAATGTGCTAGTGCTGAACTTCCATATAGAAAAATTCCAAAAGATATTTGTACTAGGTGGAATTCTACTTATGAAATGTTTAAAGTTGCTTATGATTATCGAGTGCCTATACAAAAGATATTTAATATGCATAATGGTATCCCCTGTTTAAATTATAGAGCCTGAAACTATATTTTTTAAATTGATTAACCGAACACAAACCGGTTCTCAATAAAAGTATTTAAAAGAAATACTTTTTAAACAAGCTATTAGTCGAGTCCCAAAAAAAATTAGTGGAGTGAATGAATTTTTTTGAAATACTAGTGCTTAGAGCCCGTTTGGATTAGCTGATTTGAAGTAGTTGATAAGCATTATGTGTTTAAATTGATTTAATAAATAAGCAGTTACGTGTTTGGATATAAGTGCTGAAATTGATAATAAGTTGCTGCAGTATTTGATAAAAAAGTGCTGATAAGCTCTTTTTCTGTTAAAATGACTTAGGTTGAATGCTCCACTTTGAGGCAGTGAGTATTGATGTAGGAGTTTTGTTCTGAAAAAGGAATATTTTAAGGATAAAATAGTAAAAATCTTGGTCAAACTTAGAGTCCGTTAGCTGATTTAGAGTAGCTGATAAGCATTAGCTGCTGAAAAGCACTTTTAAGTGCTGAAACTGATTTAAAAAATAAGCAGTTATGTGTTTGGATAAAAGTGCTGAAATTAATAATAAGCAGCTAAGGAATTGGGTATACAAGAGTTTTGTTTTAAAAAAAGTATTTTAGGGATAAAATAGTAAATATTTTGGTCAAACCTAAAGTGCTTATAAGCTGAAATTTGATAAGTTGGGAGAGACCAACTTATGGCTTTTGGCTTATTTTTGGCTTATAAGCACTTAACTTATAAGCACTTTTAATTTTACCAAACGCGTAGATAAGCCAAAAAGTGCTTATAAGCCAGTTTGACCAGCTTATAAGCTTAGCCAAACACCCTCTTAAAGTGCTTGTAAGCTAAAAATTCATAAGCTCGGGTGACCAGCTTATGGATTTTAGCTTATTTTTGACTTATAAATACTTGGCTTATAAGCACTTTTAACTATACCAAATGCATAGATAAGTCGAAAAGTGCTTATAAGCTAGTTTTATAAGCTAGTTTCAGCGGCTTATAAGCTTAGCCAAACACTCTCTTATAGCGGAGGAGAAAAAAAAAAGGTGTAGCATAGGCACGTGCCTCTCATCATCCTCTCTCATCTTTTTCCCGGTAGAAGCCAATACGATAAAAAAGATATATCATTCAGCAAACTAAACTCATCTTCCCATTTATCTCACTCTATTCATTCCTCCCCTTAAACCTCTGCACAGCAATAAACCATTTTATACCTCTTGAATTTAAAGTTCTTGTTGCACCTTACTGTTAGCTAAATATCCATTACTCTTCCTTTAATTGAATTACTTATATACTGGGGTAATTTATATATATGGCCTCTCTCAGTGCTATTTCACTCTGTCCCTACAAACTATGTTGTCAATTAAACCATAACAATCGATACATTTCTTGTTCTATGCCCTCCTCTACTAATATAGGTATGTGACATTCTCATTGGGACTTTCTTTTCTTATCTTCAAGTATAAGTTTTAAGTAATGAGAATTGATGCACATGGAACTTGGCCGGTTTCTGCGACGGAAGGAAACCTGTTTACTTTGCTTTTACCTATTAATTCTCTCAGCAATGAAACTGGCAATTTAGTACTACTACTTCTAAGATATACTAGTCGTACAAGTGTTTTTCGATTTAAACTTTCCGACTAGTATTTTGGTTGTGTTTTTTATAATACTTTCTTTTTTCTTTTAAGTATGGCAGAAAGGGATTTTGGGATCCTAAGCCTGTAAACTCTCCTTATGGAGTGGCTATGACTATGAGGAAACATATAGTAAACTTGTGGGGAGATAATTGAAATAACATGAAACTATTGTTAGTAATGGAAAAACAGATGGTCGGACGTGGGACTGTTAAAGGACAGATGGTTGGAGCTGGAGGAAGTTGCTATGAACTGTTAGAAGAACAGGCTCATGAATCTGAGACACTTTGGCGCTGGAAAATGCTGTTTAAATCTAAAGCTTCAACCAAAGTAGCATGCTTTGGGTGCAGTAGCGGAGGCAATAATTTCACTAAGGGGTGTCAAACTATAAAGAAGTAAACACACGAAGAAGTTAAGGGGGTTCAACATAAAGTATATCACAAAGATAAAGTTGTGACTCGGCTATACAGTGTAATTTCTCCGGCGAAGGAGTGTCAATTGACACCCCTTAGCCTAAGGTGGCTCCGCCACTGTTTGGGTGGTTCTGCTGAAACTGTTAACCATTTACTGTTGCACTATAAACAAACATGGTTTATCTGGTCCATATTCCTGAAAATTTCTGGTGTTCATTGGGTGATGCCATAGAGCTTTAAAGATTTTACTGCACTGCAGGCAAGGACAAAACATAGAAAGAAGAATGAAGAAGATTTGGAAATTAATCCCCGTATGCATCATGTTGACTGTATGGCATGAGAGAAACAGAACATGCTTTGAAGGATAGAAGGGGGTGATTGCCTTTGTAAAGTTCAGATGTTTTCAGCTATGTTACTCGGACTCTTCGAAAATGCCATTGATTGTGTGTCGGATCCTCCAAAAGTAGTGCATTTTGGAGGATCCGACACGGGTGCGGCAATAGTTTTGGAGAGTCCGAGCAACATAGGTTTTTAGAACTTGTTTTGTTGGCGTAGAGAAAATACTGTTATTAGGATATCTGACTTTATGGGCTTGCTAGATTCTGTTTTTCTGTAGTACCTGTTGTAGTCTTGAACTATCAGCAGTACCTTCTTGGTACTGCTTTGTCAATAAAATACTTTACCTTATCAATGAAAAAGATATAGTTATCTTCTGCTGTTAAGATCTGTGGGTTTCTTGTTTCATAAGAACACACTGACACACATGAATACGTACTATATCTTTTTTAGCATTGCCTGGAAATATGTTCTTGCATATATGCAACACCCATATGCTCACTCGTTTATACAAATCCAGTTGCTTTCTTTCTTGTTCTTTTTTTTTCGTGCATCCTTCAGGATTTGATTAGTGAATTTGTTTTTACCATTTATTGTTCACATCTGCTGTCCTTTTAGGCGTGCGTGGATCTAAAGGTCCTCATAAAATACCTGCAAAAACTGAGGGGGCAGGAAGAAGTATTGACGACTCTGTCCAACGAAGGATGGAACAATTTTATGAGGGCTCTGATGGCCCGCCTTTACGTGTTCTTCCTATTGGTGGTCTGGGAGAAATTGGGATGAATTGCATGCTTGTTGGTAATTATGATCGATATATTCTTATCGATGCTGGAGTAATGTTCCCAGGGTAAGTGTTGGAAAGTGGTCTGTGGTGCAACTTTCAACAATTCAATACTCAGATATTGCCACTTGCATAATCCTGCTGAATCTTCTTTCATGACTCTTCCTGGTGTAGCGGCTTCTTTTATGAGGGAGGATCTTTCATAGTAATTCCCACTTAAAGCTCCTTTACTCTTTTTTTGATAACCATCAAACTCCTCTACTCTTTTACCTAACTTTCATAGTAAACATATGAATTGAGAGCTTTTACTGAAACAAATCTGTTTAAAACATTTCTTTCTCATTGATCTTAGCTGCATGTGTTTTTGTAATTCAGTTACTTGTCCGTATTTGTTCCGCATTGATAAACCTGGGATTTTTTCTGACATGCTATTCAGCGATGATGATCTTGGTGTCCAGAAGATTATTCCTGATACAACTTTTATTAAAAAATGGAACCACAAGATTGAAGCAGTTATCATAACCCATGGACATGAAGATCACATTGGCGCGTTGCCTTGGGTAAAGTCTCACTCTGATTCTATAGATATTGTTATACTATACTGATAGACTGCACATATGGGTCCACAAGAATCCAATTAGGAACGCTTTTTTCTATAATCTTACTAAGAGAACTGAAGACAGAATGTCATCTAATAGTTTTGAGTAAGGTCTGATGTCGAATAATGGGTACAGTACAGCTTGATGTCAGTTTTGCTGCTATCTACATGTTATACAGTCAATTCTAGAAGCTTGCATCTAACAGCAGAGTGCACTTTTTCTAGTTACTCGAGTTCTTTCTTTTCTGGCTATCCTGCCTTTATAACTGCAGGGGTGCAGCCAGCTAAAGAAATTGTGGTCCTCATAAGCTACGAGGACTGGTCACATAGATATGATATTGATATTCCAGTAGTCCTGGGGACAGTAGGATGAAGTAGTGATAATTTGCTTATGCGCTATATCAAAGGTTAAAGAAGTAGATCATGATAGTGATGCTTTCTGAATATCAATGTCCACATTATATCGGATGTTCAAAAGGTTTTGTATTGTCTCGGATGTCCCTATCCTTTCTTTAAGTCATTAGACTGGACACTGAGTTTTTCACATGGTGTTAGAACGAACCTTTGGGTCTACTAAAGTTGTTAAAGTATGCATGTGAACCAACACTGGAAATACGTGCAGGAAGGTGTTCGAGATATATAATATCCCACATCAGGTATATAAAGGCATCGAAAGAGCTATATTGATCTCTGGTTGTTTCACCCATCATCTAAAGGTTTTAAGTTGGATACTCAGATTCTTTAAGAGCTCTCCCTTTTTATTATATTTGTCTAGAGCTCTAGTTTTTCTAGGAAAGTCCTTTCTTGATAGGTTTAGCTCACCATATATTTGCTGCCTCACCTGCCTGTTGGTGATCTCGCTTCTTTGGCAGTTTGCCTTTTTGGTGTTTTAAAAAGATTTTGTGGTGTTCCAGTTCTTTTTGTATAATTTTTGAGTACTCCTATATGGTTTTCTTTGTACATCTTGTTCTCACTGAGCCTTTTGCTATCTAAACAGGTAATCCCTGCACTGGATTCACAGACACCGATTTTTGCATCATCATTCACAATGCAGGTTTGTTATAATAATGTTATGATTTACTTGGTATCATAGCCTTTGCATGCAAGTGTGATGTGGTATTCAGCAGCCAAAAGCCCAAAAGCCAACCTGTAAACTTGTCTTCTACTTTGAAGGGAAAATGAGAAGATCTCTGGACAAAGTGCAACTCTGTATTTTCTCCTTTCTAACCAAACAACATAAACCAAATTATTCGTTTTACTTGTCCTTCGAACCAGGCAAAGGAAATTTCAATTACTGGATTTCCTTCTCTTATTTGCTGTACACTCTTGTTCTGCTTGTTTTAATTCTTCCATACTTTCCCCTGTTTTCTCCCTCTCAATGACTCTGTTTCCTTCTTCTTCCTTCCCTTTTATGTGTAGTATTGCTCTTTTTTTTGTTTCCCGTTGCCCCTTTCCAACTAAGCCTTGGACTTGCTTGTTCATTTCATCGTTATTATCATCAAATACAGTCGATCTGTGGGTAAAAGCTGTCACCTTAGCTGCAAAGGTCATTTGGCTTTGTCGAGTATTAAGACTCTTGTACCTACTGTTGCATACTTATCCCATTGGAGCATTGATATTCATTTTTGTCTGTCAACAACTGATTGACATTATTGCATTTCGATATCTGCTTACCTTATTCGAGGACTAATATCTCTTTTGACAGCTAATTAAAAAAAGACTGAAGGAGTTTGGAATCTTTGTTCCATCTAGGCTCAAGGAATTTATAACAAGACGGAAATTTACTGCTGGGCCCTTTGAGGTAGAATCTATCAGGGTTACACATTCTATTCCTGATTGTAGTGGACTAGTTCTACGCTGTGCTAACGGTACCATTCTCCACACAGGCGACTGGAAGGTATTTGGTCATGTTCCTGTCACAGGTCATCCTTAGACAGGTTGCTTTTTAAATCTAAATCTTAGCTTGATGTATTTTTTTTGGTGTCTGATAGATAGATGAGTCACCACTGGATGGGAAAGTTTTTGATCGTGAGGCCCTCGAGGAACTCTCGAAAGAAGGAGTTACTTTGGTAAGCACAAGGATTTTACCTCTCCAATTAGACATACTACTTCTAGAATGACTCTCTTCAACTTACTGAAATAATAGGTGTAATGGCAAGACATACATTCTACTCTGATTAACTTTTGGAGAACAATTCTTTTGCTTATGAATTTTCTCTATCAGCAACTCCTCCCTTTCCCCAAAAGACGAAAGAGAAGGGGAATTACGAAGGAGTTGACAATTCCTAAATATCATGTGAATTTCCTGTGTTATTTTTGAGGGGTAAGATCTGTGTACACTCTACCCTCCCCAGACCCCACTTGTGGGATTATACTGGGTTTCTTGTTGTTGTTGTTGTTGTTGTTGTTGTTGTTGTTGTTGTTGTATTTTTGAGGGTCTTTAAAAGTAAAAGAGTCAACAAGAAATGGACTACTATTTTACTGTATCTATTTGTAGAAATGTCTGATCACCTTAAATTTAAAGTTATTAGAGACGGTACACTTTTATTTACTTAATTATGTCGTCAAGACGCTCCTTCATGTGTGAGTCTAATTATTTTCATGAGCAAAGCACGTAGAATTTGTTATGAACGGTGGCAGTGAAACCTGAATCCAGAAAACCACTTTCTTTGGCTTTAAACTTTTCGGCCGTCAACTCCGTTGTGTTCCTTTTTATATACTCAGGCGCAACTATCGCATAATTGTGTTCTCATTGTTGTTATATCTCTTATTAATTGTATTCATTCACATTTGCTTAAAAGACTTGAAGAAATCCTCTTCTGTATAACTGATGCTACAGACTTGATGAAATAGTTTAGATTCTGAGTAGTGTTATGCACACAGACATCTTTGATGTCTTTGCTATTGACTTTACCTTAAACATGAGCACATATAGTTCTCCACATTCACTTGATTATGCAGGCTCTCTAGTTGAAAGCCATAAACCATCTCGCTACTTGCTTCAAAGGTAGTAAGTATCATACAGGCCTCCGGTTACATTTACTGGAGCACAAAATCTTTCTCTCATGCATCCTCTCTTATTTCATATAACTATGAACTTTGTGAGTAAAAATTTTTCTAGTTCTTATCAGAAGTGCTTGCAGAGGTATGTGTTTTATGTTTGCATTTAATGGTAACATTTGTTCTGTGAACTGTGCATGCATCAACTAGTTTGCGTTTGCAATCTCTTAAGGTTTCATGTGCTCAATATATTTTTGATGGATACTCCTTTTCAGATGATGAGTGATTCGACAAATGTCCTTTCCCCTGGAAGAACACTCAGTGAGACTGTAGTTGCAGATTCGTTGCTGAGACATATTTCAGCTGCCAAAGGAAGGGTTATTACTACTCAGTTTGCATCGAATATTCATCGTCTTGGAAGTGTTAAAGCTGCAGCTGATTTGACTGGCAGAAAGCTGGTATGTGCTTTCTCATCTTAGCTATTAAATTTCTTGTTCATTGTGTTTTCACCATCTTCTAAAGTTGTTTACCATATTTTTCCTTCGTGCTCTTAGATTCAGACAATAATGCCATCTGTTAATAGGTATTTGTCGGCATGTCTTTGAGAACATATCTTGATGCTGCATGGAAAGATGGGAACGCACCAATTGATCCGTCAACTCTGGTAATGGACGTGGATACTGTTTCTATTTTTCATCTCTCCTTTGACTGGAGACATACCTTTGATCCATCAACTCTGATGATGGAATTAACTAAGTTTTCTATTTATCCATCTCTCCTTGGGTAGGAGTACATTTCTTGTCTGCTTGCTTATGACACTAACATGCGTTTGATACGCTAGTTATGCCAAATTGCCAATTGACATGCCTAATTATGGAAAGCAACTGCTAGGCTAATTAGTCCATTTGTGTCTTCTACACCATAGATGTTAGTGTTCACTTATGCGATACGAAATACTCCATGACGAGAAGATAGTACAAGAATGTTATGAGTGTTAAGAAAATGGACCTAATTCAACGTCAAAAGCTAACACATGAGGCGAGGATTGCCCAAGACCATGTAAGGAGACAAAAACTCGTTCCCTCAACCAATATAGAACTCTTAACATCCCTTGTTACACCCAAGCGTGGACATTTGGAGCGTGGACAACAAATATGGATAGCAGATAGGGATGGGTCAGGTTCTGATACCATGTTAAGAAATGGACCTTCGCTAAACTCGACTCGACCTCAAAAGCTAGCTCATGAGATGATGATTGACCAAGACCATATGAGGAGACAACAACCCATTCCCTCAACTAATGTGGAATTCTAGTATTGAGAATTAAATATTGCAAGGATTACAGATATGCAAATGTATTCAAGTGTTTGATTGATTCTATTGTGATAATTGCTTCCACTTAAAAGCTTAAGTTGTTAAAGAAATGACACTTTTATTTCTAATTAGTTGTGTGACTACTGGTACACATACATGAACCCAGTAAAGCTTATTCTGTGAACATGGATTTCTTCCTAGCATTACGCTCATAATTTAATCATTCATACTATGTACACGTGGTACCTTGTTTGAAGACCTGATATAATAATACGAGTATGAGGTATTTTTGCAAAATCAGAATGTTATGCTAAACAGCGAACGCAACCAAATCACACACTTTTGCCTATCGGACTACTTAGCAATTCCTAATTAAGAAATCGCACGTCGCTTTATTGAGGTTCATTCGTCTTGTCGTGTTTCCTTGTTATCAGCGTATAGTGTGTTTGGTACGACAAAATGCATTTTTTCAGAAAAGCTTTCCTTGATGAAATCATTTTCTGATATTTGGTTATCATATCTTCTGTAAAAAAGAAATAACAACTACTCCCTCCTTCTCATTTTATGTGATGGTGTTTGATTGGGCACGAAGTTTAAGAAAGAATCTTTTTTTTTTTTTTGAAACGTGTGGTCTAGAACAAGCCATATACATTTGTGTGGCTATAAATCATCTCATTATAAAATGGATAGTTTGAAGTTAAATAATTTTTAAATATAGAAAGGTGTCATTTTTTTCCGGGTCAAACTATAAAGGAGGAAAAATGTTGTCGATTATGTGCAGATGTCATTTTCATTTGAAATATCCCGACTCTTACTCTATATCACTTGCTTCAACTAACATTTAAACATTTTTGTCTACCTTTAATACTCAGAAATATCACCAATACGCTATCTTTAAAACCATATCCTCCACCTTATATGCTTACCAACCTACTTTTATATCCAACCACATACTAGAAGATGGTCCAAACAAATAGTTCTACAAGTAAAATATTTTTTGTGAGAAATATTTTCCTACATACCAAATGCAGTCAACTTAGTTATAAAAAAATGCAGTCAACTTTTCTCCAAGTGAGGTTTGAATAAACTGGCCATATTGTTTTGCGCAACTATTGTCTGACGAGAGAGGGAGGACAAAGGTAACTTTCAATGCAGATTATATTTTTGCGATTACTGTCTAATCTGTGGAGTACATCAAAGTGTTTGTGGACATTAGGTTTTGATTCCGTAACAGTTCTAGCCTTCCTTCTACCTTGATCATTTTAGTTGCTACTGATTCTCACTCTCAGGGGAGATTATATGTATGCGATTACTGTCTAATATGTGTAGTGTATGAAGTTCGAAATGACATTTGATTCAGTAACCAGTTCTTACCTTCCACCCCTGATCTCCACCTTAAATCTGATTCTAATTTCTTTCCCACTCATAAGCATACACATCTAATTACAGGTGAAAGTGGAGGATATTGATGCTTATGCCCCAAAGGATTTGCTGATAGTGACAACAGGCTCTCAAGTAAGTGGCATTGCTGTTTCTGGTGGCTTTGCAAGCTTCAGTCACTAATTAAATAGGCCTAAGTATGCTTCTTGTGTCAGGCTGAACCACGTGCTGCATTAAATCTTGCATCCTATGGCAGTAGTCATTCGCTCAAGTTGAACAAAGATGATGTAATTTTGTATTCAGCCAAGGTAATGTATTGTAGAACTCAAGATAACAATGTATCCATCTATGTGCTGTTAAAGATTCCGGTTGATAAAACATTGCGGTTTTTTCATTGGTCTGAAGACACGGAATCTGAGTTTGAGAGATCCTGCGAACACTGTCTGATTGTATTTAAAAACAATTTATCATTCTTCTGGTTGTCCTTCCAAAACCAAACAAAACTGGAAAGTCAAATAAACATAAAGAAAAGATGCAAATCAGGTCCCGTTTGTGATAAGACACCATGAGGGGAAATTGACAGGAAAAGATCTTCATTTGTATTCTTGCACTGTTTCCTTTGCTTGAATGACAAACAAGTCAGGTGAACAATATTTGGTAACTTAGGGGCACCCAAGGGTGTGGTCTACCACTCAATAAGGTGGGTGAAAACCATGGTAGACCAAGGTTGAAATCCTAGCAAAGACAAAAACCGCTAAATGATTTCTTCCATATCTGCCCGAGCCTTGGTGGATAGAGTAAGCCGATATCTATGCTGGTGGGAGGTAGCATATATCTGAAATAGTTGAGGTGTGGAGAAGGTGGCCCCAAACCATCGTTATAAAGGAAAAAATACTCCCTCCATTTCAATTTGTGTCTTTCTTTCCTTTTTATTGTTCAAAAAAGAATGTCTCTTTCTACATAGTAAGTTTTCAATTTCAACATTCCCATTTTACCCATAATGACACTTCATTTTTTTGAACTGGAAAAAAATGAAGTGTCACAAAATGGGAATGCTATATGAATGACATGACACATTTAAGACCGTAAGATTCAAGCAGTATTTTGGTATTGCTATACACATTTAATTTAAGACCACAAGATTCAAAAGTCTTCTTTATATTCTTAAACTTCGTGCTCAGTCAAAGTAAGACGCATAAAATGAAACAGAGGGAGTATTTGGTAACTTAGGTTCCTTCTTTTTCTTAAAAAATATCCTTTTTGTGTTTATCTGGTGGTCCTCGGAACATATTTTCTGCATGTTCATAATGCCTTCTCAGACTCTTTCTGGAGTCATTCAAGAGGGAGATCCATCTATGTTTGGAGAAAGTTAGTGCAAATGTTGTGAGATTTCCATATAAGCTATGCTTTTTATAGGTGATTCCTGGTAATGGTTCTCGGGTGATGAAAATGCTAAACCGTATATCAGATATAGGATCAACAATTGTGATGGGAAAGAATGAGCTGCTGCATACATCTGGCCATGCTCATCGGGAGGAGCTGGTGAGTCCTTTTTCTTTAACTGTTACTCGATTTCGATTTTTGGATTCATGGTTTTAGTATGTGGTTCTGAATGAGAGGAGTTTTGTATGCGAGACTGTAGGACTTATTTGTTTCTATTCTCTGAGTTTACTGCTCTAGGATGACTCATATGATGATGGTTTTTTTCTTTTGCTCTATAATATATGATATATGTGACTTAGGTTCTGACGTTATATTGCTAATACGAGCAAGCAAATTTTCAATAGTCTGATCTAGCTGGTGTTATTTATCAGCCTGCTGTCATTCCCTCAACTTAAAAACAGTGATATAAGCACCGTAGCTATGAGATGATAACAGCAACAAAACTTGCCTTCTTCTGCTTATAGACATCATTTGTATATCCTCTCTTCAAATCGTGACAAGAGAGGGGGAATGATTGAGGGAAGGAAGAGAACTGTGGATGTGTAAGGGAAACTGCAAAGGCGGTCACTGTTCATTAAAGGTGACGTGAATAGCAAGTTCTTATGCTGTTGCAGACTGACATATTAAAGTGGGAAAGTTTAATCAATATGGCTGGTGCATCTTTTACTTTATAAAGAAACAAAGGAAAAGACATCAAACTTCTGAAAGCTTGGTGGGCAAGAGTTACCCGGAACTTGTGCTGGTGCGAGGTCAAAGTTACCCACTAGAATAGTCGAGGTGCGTGCAAGCTAGCCCAGACACCACCATTATAAAAGCAAAAACCTTCTTAAGGCAATTAATAGCCCGTTTGGCCAAGCTGCAAAAATCAGCTTATTTTGAGAAGTGCTTTTTCTCAAAAGTGCTTTTCTCAAAAGTACTTTTGGTGAGAAGCAGTTTGTGTTTGGCTAATTAGTTTGAAAAGCACTTCTGAGCAGCAATTAGTGTTTGGCCAAGCTTTAAAAAAAACTGCTTCTAAGTGTATTTTCTCAAAAGTGCTTCTCGAAAAAGTGCTTTTGGAGAGAAGCTACTTTTTTCTGCTTCTCCAAAACTGCTTCTGCTTCTCCTCAAAAGCACTTTTTTTCCTTACAGAAGCTTGGCCAAACACCTCAATTTTGGCCAAAAAAAGCACTTTTGGCCAAAAATAAGCTTGGCCAAACAGGCTATAAGTGCACCTTTCACTTTTAAAGAAACAAGGGAAAAGACATAGTATCAAAACTTCTTAAAGCCATTACTACCATGACTACCAGTTTTTCACATAACATACTAGTGCATGACATAATTCTATCTTGCACCACCGATTATAATATTACTCACCTTTACAGTGTCATGCTCAATTTTTTGAGCTACAATTCTAATGTTGGATTTCTTGTTTGAAGGAAGAAGTGCTGAAAATTGTGAAACCACAACATTTTCTTCCTATTCATGGTGAACTCTTGTTCCTGAAAGAGCATGAATTACTGGGGAGATCAACTGGAATTCATCACACAGCTGTAAGTAATGTGGTACTAGTTCAATATTTGATTGTTACTTCTTTTTACTTCGAGTCCTTCAAATAGTGCAGAGACCATTGTCTTTAAAAGGTGTTTTTCAAGATAATCATGCCGAGGTGATGGGGGAAACGTTACTTATTCTAGAATACTCGCTACTGAAGCCACATGCATCATGTTTGAATGAAGCATATCTTCCTTTGGGTTTGCTTTTGGCACTTTCTTGTTGGATTTTCAAGAATTGCATTTCTCCTGTTTTTTCAAAATACAGTTTGATTGTTATATTATAATTATTTCCACAAGAGCCTGAAAAATTATGATGACTGTCTCTAAACAAGTTAAACCAATTGGTATCTTGATCTAAATAAATCCCGTAATCACGCCTAAAGCCCAAGGGAGGGAAACAATAACATAAAAAACATAACCGTGCCGTATGAAACTGAAGAAAATGGCTCCTGCAGAGTTTAGAGGTTGGCGTGAACCATGGATGACATTAGTCTTGCATCTTTATTGTAAAAACAGGTTTTGGAAGTCAACCCCAAACGGAATGAATGTAGCATAGGGTCCTGTATGTTAGCTAACTATATTGTTGGAGACAAAGCATGTCTAACAGTGTATATACAATTTTCTTCTTTAAATGTGTTTTGCTTATTTAAGATCCCAAACAAAATGGCAACTTTAGTCCCTAAAAAGAGCATGTCCAGTAGGGTGCATACAATTTCCCTGATTCTGAATACTAATCTGCTCAAATAGCATTATTATAACACAATGGTTGCAACATATATACACACACGCACACACATTAGGTATGTTTGTGTGTGTAGTGTATGTATGTTACCTAAAGATAATATGTTAACTGAGTTAATGACCCTGTTTTCTATGTGCCCAAAATAAAACCAAGCTGACCAACTAAATTGTGTCTCTCATTTAAGATACTACAGAATCCATTTTCCACAGTGGTATAAGTAGGTTAAGCCCATTCTTTTATTCTTTTAAAGTAAATGTTTTTAACAGCCTGAGGTATCTGGTTAAAATGCCCTATGTTGTAATTGTGTGTAAATAGGTCATCAAGAATGGAGAGATGCTTGGAATCTCACATTTGAGGAATAGAAAAGTACTATCCAATGGATTCATTTCCCTAGGGAAGGAGAATTTGCAGGTTTTGTTCTCTCTCTCTCTCTCTCTCTCTCTCTCTCTCTCTCTCTCTCTCACACGCACGCACGCACACACACGCACACACACACGCACACACACACTCACACACGCACAAGTTTATACAGACAGAAACGTTCATCTTTGCCTACTAGTTTTCTATTTCTGATAATTAAGGAGATGCCAGTAATCCAGTTAGCAAATTGCAGTTGATGTATAGTGATGGTGACAAAGCATTTGGTACAGCTGCTGAACTTTGTGTTGATGAGAGGCTAAGAATTGCATCTGATGGTCTTATCGTGGTCAGGTAAACTTCATCACCTCGGCTCTCATTGAATCGCAGATTTCTTCACATTGTGACACTGATTCTTGTAAGACATCTGGACTGCAGTATGGAAGTTTTACGTCCTCAATTTGCAGACAGTATAGCAGAGAAAACCTTGAACGGAAAAATAAGAATTACTACACGCTGCTTGTGGCTCGACAAGGGGAAACTTTTGGATGCACTCCATAAAGCTGCACATGCTGCATTGTCAAGCTGTCCTGTGAATTGCCCGCTCTCCCACATGGAAAGAACTGTGTCTGAAGTTCTAAGAAAAATGGTCAGGAAGTACAGTTGTAAAAAGCCTGAAGTTATTGCCATTGCTTTAGAAAAAACTGCAGGAGCCCCGGCAGACGAGATCAATGGAAAACTTTCTAGAAAGGCAGATGTTTGTTCTGGTATTTCTGCCTTTAGAAAAGTGTTGGATGGAGATCCGAGGAAAAGACCGCCAAGTCCAACAAACACAGAAGAATGCAATGCCCATGCTTATCCAACTAATGATGCAGAACAGCAAGTCAAAGGTTCTGTTCCCATTGTTTTCTTTACAAGATAATAAATTTTAAATTAATCTGTCTAAGTTTCTAGACAATAAGTCCCAGCGGAGGACAAAAAACAACTAGGTGATTTCTTCCCATATGTCCAAAGCCTTGATGGGTAGAGTTACCCGGTACCTGTGATTGTGGGAGGTAGCAGGTACCCCGTGGAATTTGTCGAGGTGCGCGCAAACTGGACCGGACACGACGTTTATCAAACAAAAAGAATCTGCTAAGTTTTGAGGCCAAAAGTCCTATTTTTTTAGTACTTCGTAGCGGGTCCTAATTACTTTTTAACTCTGTGATTTATTCTAGTTCTATCCTCTGACCATCTTCTATTAGAAACTCAGAATAGTTTATGATTGAGATAACAGCTGAACTTTTCATAGTGATAGCAATAATTGTAACAATGAACGTAATAATAGTAATCCCTTTTGAATGGTTTCACAGCTGTAATTAGGTATTCATGTTTTATTTTACTTTTTCTTCTTTTCCTTTTATTATGTTAGACTATTGTAAATGTAGTACCCTTCATCATCAATAAATAATTTAGATATAGCAACTCAATTGGATTTGTTTTTTTTATCCATTTTGGATTATTATTATTATTATTAGTATTTTTTTAATTATTATTATTATTATTATTTTTTATTATAATATTACTAGTTTTGTTATCATCATCATCATTATTGTCGCGTCGTCACTAATTTTGTTTAAGGGTTGGTATGTTTGTGATGCTCTTGATGTAATTGTTTTTGAGATTTGTGTGGTAGACTGGACAAATAATCAGGGGTATTCATAGTATGGTATAGAAATTTCGAGGAGTAGAATTAGAGGATTACGCAAAGTAATATGGATGATAGCGTAATATTTGTACTGCAATTATGAAAGGTTGGTAAACCACATATCACGTAACCATAGGCTCAAATGGGAGGATATCTTGTTCATTCGCAACAAAATATTTTCTTTGTGCGTCGGTTAAAAAAAACATGCTTTTTGGGGGGTGACATAGTGAGAAGGGCTTTAATGATAAGTCCCGTAGTGTGTGAAACTAAAGGAAGATGATCCTTCCACGGACCCACTCTTTTGTTTCATGTGAAAGTTCCTTATTTTGACTTGGCCAGTAAACAGATTCAAGTTCTGAATGCATTCTCGGTCTGCAATATATTTATGCTTCATCAATCGTAGTATATTTTATCTTCTAGAGAAGACATTTTCTTTAGGGGTAGATAACTAGATATTATATAGTAGTAGATTCAATGTTTCTATTCTCATCTTGTAATAATGATTAGGTCTTATGAATCCAATGCGTTTTGTAGTGAGTGTTATTCATGACTTTTCCTTCACGCAGGTGATGATATGCGTGCTGAGAGATTTATGCATGAGGAAGCAATTACTTCAAGTTCAAACTCACAGGATAATTTCTCTTCCGGTGAGAGTATGTCAGATATAACATCATCACCAGTAGATCAGTTACAACAAGGTATGCCTGCTGATTTGTCACAAGCAGGATCTGAAGAAATGTTCAGAAAAGTGAGCATCGGCCTTGATTTAAACTTGCTAGAGCCTAAGTTGCAATCTTCAAAACCTTTGAAGAGGAACAGATGGAAACCTGAAGAGGTTAAGAAATTGATTAAAATCCGGGGGGAACTCCACGGCAGGTTTCAGGTTGTCCGGGGACGGATGGCACTTTGGGAAGAGATATCTTCAAGATTAGTGTCTGGTGGAATCAATCGGACTCCTGCACAGTGTAAATCTCAGTGGGCTTCTCAAGTTAAAAAATATGAGGTGTGTTATTCTCCTTATCCTTCTATGTTGAGTTCATTTGTAGTTCCATCAGTGGCGGAGCCAGAATTTTCGTTAAGGGGTGTAAAATATATAAAAGCAAACATACCAGAAAATTAAGGGGAGTCAATACATAGTATATATACATATAATTTATTTTTTTACCTATCTACACAGTGTATTTTTCCCGCGAACCTTCCTATAAGGTGGCTCTGCCACTGATTACACTGTTCCATTACTTGGTCGATAGCATTCTTAAGCTTCATTGAAATGATCCTTTTTGGAACAAGTTCTGGGGAATAGCTATAGATGTCTGCTCTGTTCGGGCTTAAATAAAAGTGAAATAGAGACCATCCCTTATTTTTGCTGTGTTATAAGGAAAAAGGGTAGAAAACCTAAGTTAGAACCAAACCTTTAAAAGAAAAAAAAAAAACTTAAGTTAGAACCAAATATTAGTTTGTAAAAATATCTTGCTCTCTTAAGCTATATGTAGGTAATTATAACAGCTTTTGCTACTCTGTATAGGCAAGCAAGAATGATAAGAAGAGCCAGGAAAAAGTTGCTTACTTTGTGGACATGAGTAACATCTTGTCTCTGAAATGAATGACATTGTACTCGAGGATAGTGCTTGTGGAGGCAATTCTTCCATAATGGGATGTCAGCAATGAGATTCTTCCAAACGAGTCCAACTCGCTTAAACATAGGATGTGGACTAGGGCTGCATCATTGTGCTGGCAACTCTCTTCATTCCCATGCTAGTTATCTGCAGCCTGGTGTTTGAAGCAAGAATGTTAGAGATGGGATTAGGGTGGAAAAAGAATGTGAACTTGTTGAGGGTTTGAAGGTAGATTTTGTGTATTCTTTATTTTGGGGCCTGTAATGGTTATACATGCAGTAATGATACGAGTGATTCACTACACTGTTCTCTCAAAATATAAATGCACTTGTCCCTTTCCCTTTTTGAATTAATCTTGCGCTGGCTGTCATTGTCCTGTAATTTCTTTCATTCTAGTTAAAGGAGAAATGATCAACTTTTCATTCTTTTGGGTAGCTGACAACAATTTTTTTGTTATATAGAATAGAATAGACTTCATTGTCCTTCCACATCTGGCTTCACATCTACAAATTAGGTTCTAGAATACCAGACTTGAGTGTAGAGCTGGCAACTTAGACCCTAACCCGTAGAGTAAAAATTGCACGGGCGCCCTATTTGGTCGCCCCTATTTAACCTATACCCATTTCTTTTTAAAAAGTTTTAACTTGTACTCACTTTTTAAACAACTTCAGGCCCCTTTCTCCTCCTCCTTCTCCTCCTTCGTTTTCTTCTTCTTCTTCTTTCTTCTGCTGCTGTTGGTGCTGCTATGAAACTTCAGTTCATGGGGTGATTGCCATAAATATGTTTATCAGATTATTTAAAAACAAATTATAAATAATTACGTAAGTTAGTAGGCAATAATTTGTGAATATTTTCACGTACGTAAGTTAGTAGACAATGATAATTCTGTTCTTTTCACATTTATTGTTTCCAAAATTTATGATTTAGATATTGTTGGCAATCTGATTATTTATCTAGTATGTTAGAAAGCTTTTTCAAAAACTTCAGCTTATATAGTGCTGAAGCTTTTACAAATGAACTAAATAACTTCAACATCTTTTGCTGAAGTTTTTGAAAAAGCTTTATGACAAAACTAATGAATCCAGGACAAAAAAATTTCAGCTTTTAGTGCTGATGTTTTTACAAATGAACTAAATAACTTCAGCATCTTCTGCTGAAGTTTTTTGAAAAAGCTTATCCAGGACAAAAAAACTTCAGCTTATTTAGTGCTGAAGTTTTTATAAATGAACTAAATAACTTCAGCATCTTCTGCTGAAGTTTTTGAAAAAGCTTAATGACAAAACTAATGAATCCAGGACAAAAAAACTTCAGCTTATTTAGTGCAATTACAAACAAAAACTTCAGCAAATAGAGAACAAAACTTCAGTTACTATGCTTAAGTTCAGCAATTACAAACAAAAACTTCAACACACTTGCTACTTCAGGCCCGTCTACTAGAATGCTGAAGTTTTGCGTGATTGCCTTTGCTACTTCAGTCCCGTATGCTGAAGTTACGCGAAAAAGTGGGTACGCTTGCAATTTTTTTTGCAAAGCGGGCACAAGTTAAAACGTGACCCAAAAAGCGGGTATAGATGCAAATACCCCACCCGTCGAAAGTTGATTGGGTTGGGGTGATAACCAAAAGGTAATTGGGTCAAAATGTGTAGACCCCTTTTGACCCGCTGGAAAATTGGGTTCGGATGGGTCATAATGAGGTAACCCAACGGGCTGTAACGACTCGTCCCAACTGGTTAAATGGCTTATAAAGCAAATGGAAATTTTTGATCTTCTGATAGACATAGAGAAAATTTCTTGGATATCCTCAAAGTAGGGGTGTATAGATACCAATTGTATCGAATATTTAAGGAATTTTTACCTCCTATAGCAAAGGTAGATACCTTATTTATTTTAAATAAATACTTTTTTAAAAAATTATATTCCGTAGTTATCTTTTGATTTTTATAGCCAAATATATATTTATGGTCATCTCCTACGCTTAAGACATAAAATACGCCTTGTATTATTTTTCTCTCTCATTCTTTCAGTTTTTTCTCCACCCTCTCTCTCTCAACTCCAGTCTTTCTCCATGAATATAACCACAATTCTCCCAAATGCAGATCGAAATACACTACTAAAAAACGGCCAATTTCCAACGGAAAAAAGTAGTCGGAAATTTCCGACGGAATCAGTCGGAAAATACATAAAAATTTATTTTTTAATTTTTTACTAATAGTTACGACTAATATTCCGTCTATATCCGTCGTAAATTTTGGCGGAAAATTCCGCGCCACTTTAGTGACCAATTCGATCGGAAATAATTTCTTTTTTAAAAAAGAAATAAAAAAATAGCGACCGATTCGGTCGAAATTTTTTAGTAAAGTGAGGTTGACTGCTTTGACCAAATTAGCGACCGAATCAGTCGGAAATATTTTTTTAAAACCCTACCAGCGCACTTCTTTCTTTTCCTTACCCTCTTTTCCTCCTTCTCTCTTCTCTCTTTCACTCAAACTTCCCCCACCTAAACCCACCGCTGCCACCAACCAGCGGCGCCGCTGAAGTTCCGTCGAGACTCCGTCTCTACTGCCACCACCCGCTGAAGCTCCGTCAGAGGATAAGAGGGGTTAGAGGTACTATTTTTTTCCTTCTTCATTACAGGTTTATATATTTTGGATTTTCATCATTTTACACCATCTTTCTTTATGTTTGTGCTGAGCATATGTGTGTGTGTGTGTGTTTTCCTGTGTTTGGTGTAAATTTGCTGATTTGGTTTTGCAAATTCTTGAAGAAGGATTTTACCAAAGAAATTATTGAGTTGATGAAGTACTATACCCTGCTGGTTTTGTACTTCCATTTGTTAGTTTTGACTAGTTGATGTACTAAAGATTCTACTTTAACTTTAAGATGCAATGTCAATTGGGACAATTTAGCTGTGTTGTTGAATCAAAAAGGTGTTTTTAAGACCGTTTTTAACTTTGTACCCACACCTTCTATACCATTATCTTCACTGGCTTTCATGATAGTCAACATGGTGGCTCACCAGCTGTTGCACCCTCGGTCTTTTATAGTCAACATACTGACTCACCAGCTGCTGCACCCTCGGGCTTTCATGGTAGTCAGCATACTGGCTCACCAGCTGCTGCACCCCCGAGCTTTCATCGTAGTCAGCATGATGGTGCATCTTTTGTTGCTCCATCATCTTCCAGTCCATCATCATCATCCATTCCCAGCATATCTAGGTTGGATATTGGAGGCTCTCGCCCAGCTACATCTAATGCTGCTTCTGCACCATCTGGTAGACGCAGGCAGAATCTTGGAGGGGATGTACAATTTGATAGTTATAATCGATTGATAATCGTCCCCCACAAGGACGGGTAAGAAGGTTCTTGTACAAATTTTTATGTTTTGAATGTACATTTAGATGTGTTAACATTAAGGAATATTTATTTGCAATTAAAAGGTGTTTATTAATTGTATATATGTTAACTTTAATGCAGGTTTTTGCCATCCTTTCAATCTACACATTTGGTTACAGATTCTATGAAGCCATTTTATCATGAGCCGTGGACTTCTTGGAGAAAGATACCGTACAACATCAGAGAGCAAATGTTGAATCAATTTAGGGTAAAAATTAATTATATTTATTAATAATTATCGTTTTCATCTAATGTTACTTTTTTATATTGCATACAAGGTGTACATGGCATCCTCAGCATCAAAATGCAATAAATAATATTTTGGAGAAGAAAGCTGCTATAAGGATTAAAGATACTATGTGCACTGCTCGAAATTCCGGTAAAATGCCGGAATGGTTAAGAGTAGATGTTTGGGATAAACTTCTTGAGAAATGGAATACCCCAGAATGGAAGGCAAAGAGTGAACAAGCAAAGGAAAACTGTGCCTCTAAAAAAGGTGGCTCGTTGCACACAGGAGGTTCGATTACTTTTGAGGCCCATAAACTAAGAATGGTAATTATATATAAAAAATTTCTTAGTATTACATATAGAATTTTACGTTTGTAAAGTCTAACTCATACTTTTTCTTATGAAGGAAAAGGAAAGAGGGCGAGATGTGAGTTACGCTGAGGTCTTCGAGGAGTTGCATAAGAAAAAGAAAAAGGATGGTACAAGAGAACACTGGGTGGAGACGCATGCATCAGACACATATGTAAAATTCTAACTTCATAATTATTTATGGTTTATTCATATTAGTTTTTTTTACATAATAGTTATGTTTTTCATTTCAGGACGATTATCATAAAAGGTTGGAAGAATGGCAACAAACTCAGCCTCCTTCAACTCAACCAACACCTGATGATATGGTTTCATTGTGGACAGAGGCAGCGGGTGGAGCAAACAAAGGCAGAGTCTACGAACTAGGAGTACATCGACCTACAGGTCATCCAAACCCACTCTTAGCCAATTCTTCTCCTCAAAATCAAGAACAGATGGAAGATATGAGAAACGAAATTCATGGATTGAAGCAACAATTGGACTCCCAATACGGAACATTTGTTAAGATGCAGAAATTCTTGCGTAAACATGGGCATGATTTATCTGATGATGAGGATGTACAAACTGAATCTGATGTGTAGTAGTTTAGTTGTGATGTTTTGGTTGATTGGTAAACTTGATTGTGAGAGACAACTTTATGTATTGCTTTTAAACTTGAATATGGGCTGCTATTTGGATGTTTTTATGCCCAAAATTGTTAGGTTCAAATGTTGGAATTGTTGGTTTAAGTTGTGTTAATGGTTGGCATTGTTGGTTTAGAGTTTGTTAATGTAATGTTAATTTAGATAGTGTTAATGTATTGTTGGTTCGTATTATTGTATTAATGTATCGTTGGTTTAGATTGTTGATTGGTATTTTTTTGTTTGTGATAGTTTGACAGGTGGTGTAGCTCGAAATTGGGCAGAATTCTGCCCAGTTTTGTACAAAATTTTGACGGAAACGGTCGGAAAGCTCCCCAGATTTAGCAATAAATTGTTAGATTTTCGACTGATTCGGTCGGAAATTTTTTTAAAAAAAAAATAATATTCACAAATTTTCGACGGATTCCGTCGGAAATTAAATAAAATTTAATTTTTAATTATAATTTCCGACAGATACGGTCGGAAATTGCAAAAAGAAAAAAATTAATATTCAACAGTTTTCGACGGATTCCGTCGGAAAATAAATAAAATTTAATTTTTAATTTTTAATTTTCCTTGTATTATTACGACCGATTCAGTCGGTAAATTCCGACCACTTTAGTCGGAAAGGCGAATTATTTGGTAGTCTGGCCTTTTCGAAATTTGCGACTACTTTAGTCGGAAATCACCGACGGATTCAGCCGGAAATTGTTTTCAGACCGACCAAATTCGGTCGGAAAGTAGTCGAAAATACGTGATTTCCGACCGAATTCCGACCGTTTTGGCCGTCGGAAATCTGCCATTTTCTAGTAGTGAT